TACTCTAATTTCATTGGTACGATAAATTTCCCAAAGTCCCTAAAACTAATAAGCGAAGCTATCAAGTGCGACCAATAGACAAAGTCACCTGAATTGATTTCCAGTTTGAGCAGAAATGTCCGTCGTTGAAGTGTTCTTCCGAATTAGTGGTGAAAAGAGGGGGACATGTTTCGCAAATATCTGAAGTTTTTGAATTAGAGTTTAAGTCTGAAGAAATGAACTGGGGGCGCAGTTCGTCTTGGGAGGGCATTTTGCTTTTTGCTACATACAGTTGATGCCTCGACGAGCTTGTTCCAGCCTCGTAAGTCTCACCAGAGTGAGCCGGAAGCCGGAGCCAGCGAAACAGAAAAAATGCAAAAATGCTCCCCCTCCCCGTCGCCGAACTGCACGATGTTGGAGAATGAAAATCAAGAGGTATTAGGCCCTCACTCCGTTGATCATCATCCGATAGAATTATCCAAAACAGACAGGCTTTCCTTTCGTTCGTTCCACAGCTAAAAGCTCCTGCCCACTGGCTTCCACAAAGACGTCGTGCTCCTTGCTTTCCTTGCTTGAGTACCCTGCTCTCTCTGGCTGCACCGAGTTGGAAAAACCTTTGTCTGGGCGTGATGAAGATGGGCGGAAGGTCTTAGCTAATACTAGTTTGCCATTAGCTGTCGATGGGATGGTGGGCAAAGTTGGTGGTGAAGCTTGAGGTGGTTCAGCTGTATCCAGTTCCCGGACAGGCGTGTAGGTAACGGCTTGTAATCTTCGACTCTGCTCGGGAGATTTTGCCAAATTGGGTTCCTTTCTCCAGGAACGGGTATGGCTCTGTGGTATTCGTCTCTGGTCGGCCGGTTTGGTCACTTCAGCCCTATCATGTAGGATGTGGTCCTTGAACGGAGATCAGGTGGTTCAACCACCGAATATTGAGTAGTCGAAGGTGCGATGGTTGGCGGTTCTTGAGTCTGAGCTGATATTTCAGCCCAAGTCAGGGTTCTTAGTAGGTGAACGCGCTAGGAATTTTGGTTCTGTCTCAGTAGGATTTCGGGCAGGTGAACGAGCTAGAGCAGTTCCAACTGATGGAGTCATGCTCATGCATTCATAGCTGAATGAGAATATGTGGAACAGGATGCAAATGACGAAAAGTGTTGGCATTACGGAAAGAATAACGATCGTGCACGATCGGACGCTTCACTGGGCGATCTATCATTCTACGGACCCTCGGATGCAAAGTGCAATGTGTATTCATTCGTGAAGAGAGTTTTTCATAATACGCCCATTGAATCGCGATTTCTCGAATGACCTGGATTCTATGGGAAATCACCAGTTTGATATGAATTATGCGTCATGGGAGGTGCATGTACAAGGGATATTTCGGCTATAATTAGATAAACTTCGGTCTCCGCTCCCAACGAACGATTTTCGATTTCACTGGATTCAATTCAAGTCCAGAGTTTAAAGACAAACCTCGAGATTTATTGTGAAGGCGTCGTTCAGTTATAAACCCGTGGTCAAGTGGCCTTTCGGAAAAGAAAAAGCGAAAAAAAATCATGGAGAACGCCTCAAGTAAGGACCTGACATTCTCTCTGGGCGAGTTTCTTGGACCGCGTGTTTTATGCCAGCGAAGAGATGCCCTTCCCCCTCTGGTTATCATTTTTTTTTCTCTTGATGCAGTGTTAACCATTTGACAGGAAAAAAAAAGAAAAAACACGATGTAAAAAGCGATAGAAAATAACTTTTTTCTTTTTGGTGGGGGATAACTAGGGAAGCCTCAGAACTGCCGCTGATGAGGGCCGCAGCGCCTTCGTTACTACCTGTGAAGCCGCGAAAATGGGGCAACCGTGACCTGAGAACCAGACTAGTTGTAGCAGAGGAAGGACGGCCTTAACGAATTTGGATGATCGCGGGGACTGTAAGTGGACTCGCTGGAGATGCCCCTACCCTTCCTTTTGTATCGCCGTACAAACACTGGCTCGACCGCCACGCTCTAATGTAAAATCTCAGCTAGTCTCCCGATAAAAACACATAGCTCTTTCGCCCCCGTTATTGTTCACTATATGTGGATTCATTCTGTGCAGCACATTTGTCTGCGCCATGAATTTGGAAATTCAAATTGTTTTTTGGTACTAGTGAATTCAGGAAGAGCATCTTTTATCATGGAATGTTGCGCCGAATCGGTACCGCTGCCAGATGTCATGCGGCTTCTTTGACGGAGCGACCGAAACCGGATCCTTGTTCTCAATCGCAGTATCGGTTAGTACCTGAGTAACGTTGCGAGTCCTTCAGCGCTACAGTCGTTACCACTGAAGTCGATCGGGGCGTGTTCAGCGACGCCAGCCTCTTTCCTCTGAACACTGAACGATCGAAGCTGCGGCGATTGGCGGAAAACGGTCTGACGCCACGCCGAAGCCTACTGCCTCTGAAACGCTTCGACTGACTTAAATGATAACACTTCTCAGTAAGCGCAAGGTATTAACGCATACTTTCAGCAATAAGCTGTTTTCCCAGCTTAGCTATAAGTATGCGTTTATACCTTGCGGTAGTGACGATATCAGAGATTATGGAGGTAAAAAAAGTATGCGTATCGATCAGGATCGATACAGAGGGAGAGGGGGTCGTACTTGCCTCCTGGCTTTCTGGGAGGGGTTGTTGACTTTTCGTAATTTTTTCGCTTTCTTATATACTACATATTCGCTTTCCTCCGCTGCCCGATCCATTGAGCCAGAAGCGATTTATTTGGAATGCTGAGAAAAATGGTAGGAAGATGAGGGATGAAGGTCTAGGGCACATCATAGTTTGGGATTCCCCAATAAAGGGTCGTATTTGGTCTGGGGAAAAATTTTTTTTTACAATTGAAATCTCTCGTTCCACGGACGCTGTAAAGGGGGGGGGGTCGTATTGGCTCGTTGTTGGGAGAGGGGTTGTATTGTCCGTCTCGGTTTTCCCTTATCACATGCGCTTTCTCCGCGCTCGACAGCTCGATCAGAAAAGGAGGGGGGAGGTCACAACAAGCCACATTTTATAGCGGGATCGGATAGTAGACTCGTCCAAAATACCCCAACCATAATGTGCTCTATGGAGGTCCTGTCGAGGGAGGGATTTCGGGAGGCGTATCGGGAGGTCGTAGCCACCATTTCACACGTCATGAAGCTGTACCCTTGGTGAAGCAATTTCAAATCCTCTGGGGAGAAACACGTTACCGCAAAATTGCGCTCTAGCAGTACTGACGATGTGTGACTTTTTCTCAAGTATAGAAGGAGCGTTGCTTTCTTCTGAATAGGTTCTCAGTATTCTGGGCTTGAAGGCACACTTCGCCAATAGCAAAGGGTCAACTCCTCATTGCGAGTAGGTATAATAACTTGGCTCTGCAAAACCGAAGGAAGTACCCTTTTCAGAGCTCGGAAATGCAGAAGCGGGATGCAAGCTAATCTCCTAGACTTACGAACCTATTGCTGGCCCTACGTTGCCGTCGCCGTCGTGGCGATGTCGTTGTGCTTTCTCTCACCCGCCGCTTCTTGCTCTCCTCCCGATTCTTGATTGTGTCGCCGCTTCTCGCGTCTTGCACTTAATTAGTTGACCACCTTATAGTATTGTTCGCTGCGGATGCTGAAGACGAAAAGACTGGGCTTGTCCCGCCCGCGCCATAACCCAGCCCCACCACCCCCACACCCCAGCGTCCTCAGGGAACAAGGCTATCTGCTCGATTGTGTACAAAATCAGCCGCTAGAAGAAGGGTCTTGAGAGCTATGTTTTTTTTTCTTTTTCATTAGTAGATGCATTATCAACTACACTTTCATTTTCTAGCCTCGTTGTTCGCAAACTGCTTTCGCAAAATAAGGCTTCGAAATTATGCCTTTCAGACTAGATTACGATCTATTTTACGAGATAGTCAGACGTCTGCTCCCATGGCCAGTTACGACGAATTTTGTGGTGCGACTGTTCAGGGTACGTTTCGACTGTGTAGTCGTTAATTATGCAAAATTAATAACTAATCATTAATTAAAGGCAAACTGTACATTACCTGCGAGGACGGTCCTGTCATGTGCAAGGCGAATGGCTCCGCAGCAGAGTAGCTGCCACCTTCTCTTTGCTGAAAAGTGTACGGGAATAGGGCTGGAGGGTGTTGTGCCGGAATGCCGCCTCCATACTTCGCCCGAGCTGCCGCAGCCACAGGTCTCACTTAGGGTGTTGTTTTTCTGCGTCTTCTCACAAATGGTTGCTCTTTGTTTCGGGATTTCGATATCTCAGATAGCGCGGGTGGAACCCCCAACCCGCGCTCCCGTGATTTGGCAATGACAGATGACGTGCTGCTCGCACATGGGAGGGACCCTCCTTGAAGGGGGTGAACAGTTTGTCTTTAGAGAGACTAGTGAAGGCGTACCTGTAACATAACTAAATTGAGTCTATACTAGTTGTTGGATGTCTCCGACAGTGGACTGTTAACGTTCCGTGATTTGGCCATGACATTGTCGCTACTGTTACTGGGTGACGCTACTGAAAAGTTGGCTGTCATATACAAGTGTCATATTCCACCAGCCTTCAATATTTCCGATCTTGATGAGCTGAACCAAGGTGATGATGAACGAGATGGCTGGTGTGTTGTTGAAGGTGAGCCAGATTGATGCCAGATTTTAGCTTTCTCTGCATAGTTCGGCGACCGGGGGGGGGGGGAGGCATTTTGCACTTTCGCTGCTTCACTACTTCCGGTTTACAAGTCTCACTCTGGTGAAACCTGTGAACTCTTGTGAAGCTGGAGCAAGCTCGTCGAGCCACCATGTCAAAACCTGTTTCTTGTAAGCTCACGAAATGGGTCTCTAGATGGGTCGACTCGTCGAGAAGAAGTAGCAGAAGTGCAGGATGCCCTCCCTCCTATTCCTCCGTCGCCAAACACGCATTCGCTTTTGCCGCGACCTGTCCTGTCACTGTGATAAGCGATATTCTGCACTAGGCGATTTATTCCTGAAACACCGGAATTCTGGTTGGAAGGGATTTTACCTACTATTTTAGTTAGCTGTACAAGTAGCTGTTCTACATCGTCAATCCAGTCTTGCTTGGGAGGGGGAGGGGGGGAGAGGGAGCATTTCGCGCTTTAGTTGCCTCCCACTGTCGTGCCGAGCTATCAAGTGGAAATTTGTAAAATCTTATAGAGAATACCTGTCTACGCTTGTAAAGCAATGAATATGAGGAAGTAGCGAACAGAGTGCCCCCCCCCTCCCTTGCCAGCCAAACTGCGCCGAGTGTTCATTCGTATATTCCAGATGACACTCCGGAGGTTGCAGTTGACGCGATGGATATGCTGGCATCTTCCACCATCGGCTAGTACCTCACAAGGACAATTCACCAACGAAAGGGGACATTTCAAGTGATAGAGTGGGTATCTGCTGTGGTTCTCCTTCTTCGAGAACGAATTACAGATGATGAAATGGGCGAGACTCACAAGCTTTTGTGCTTTCCTCATTTGTGTAGCTCTTCCTTGAAACGGCAAAGAGTAGCAGCGCGCCAGAAAAGCTTAAAAATGGTTATGTGTCTCCGCCCATCATTTATCGAGAAATGTGTCCTCAAGGGTGTTCATCACGAATTTTTGAATAATTTAGAGCACGGTCAACAAGTGCAGTGATGGTGGATGACCCAAAATCGAGTGCTTCGTCATTACTGGATCTAATAGCCCCAAAATCTTACGGGAGTGATCCATCTGATTCGAGTCATGTTCAAGTAGCCGATGAGGCTAGTGAGGGTAAGTTATTGCTCCAATAAACACTCCCATGATTTTAGACAAAATAGAGAATGTGGCGTATCGGAAAGATAATTTTCTCTTCAGAATCACTGTCACTTATTGATGAATCTATCAGTAAACTTCGGAATCTGCGTGCCACGTTGTCGTCACCAGATGCGGCTTCCGCTCGACTGGAAATCAAAACGCTCCCACCGATGAATCAGGTATGATGTGAGGGTTATAGGAAGAGGTTTGTCTTGTCCGCTGCGGATGCTGAGGCGTGTTAGGGGCTTGGGTTTGGCGCGCGCAGCCAGTTTTCCACCAATCGTGATCGCCTGCCAGCTTTCAGGTTGGTGAGCACGGACCTGGAAGCCGCTTCCCCCCCCCCACCTGCCCCGTGATACAGCCATCATGTCCGTGGCAAACAAGACTGTAACACGATGAAATCGAAAGAACATATGCACTTCTGAAGTTTTACAATTCAATTCATCGCCAGCTGTGGCAAAACGGTTTTGGCAACGAATATAACTGATTGCTGACAAGGAAAATCATCAGCTAAGTGCGAAATTATCGGAAGTTGGTGAGTATTCATGCCTTCAAGGCACATTCATTACATTCGTGTTGGTGCAGCGCTTATTATACGTTGACGACGAACTGTTTTTCTCATGACTTCTGGGTGGGACGGCACATTTTTCTTCGTTGAAAGTCAGTAATTATGAATGACTACGATCAAAATGTATCAAGAAATGCAAGAGATGAGTATACGAATCTCGAATCTTTGACACAATTTAGCTTTTATTGCTCCAATCTTCCAAAATCAGGTCATTTTTTACCAACTTCTTCCTCTGGAGGCAGATTTGGCTGAAAATTTGTCTCCGGGGTTGTTTGACCTCTCAAAGATCAATACAGCATCCCCTGGACCCCAAAATGTTTGTTCTTGAACTAATTTTTTAGGAACAAAATGAAAGAATCGCGGATTTTGAGTTATATAGGACACCATTGAGTGATGCCGCCCCACAAGACAAACTGGCTATCGTCCACCATTGACGATAACTGGCGTCAACGTGTTAAGTGGATATATTTCTGTTCAGGGGGTTGGATAGCCTAGCAGACATGTTTTCAGCGAATTTGATGACCTAGGACATTTTGGCGCCGGCGCCTGTGGCGCGGGCGCCAGGCAGTTTCGTGGCAAGCGATTGTGATATTCGTGTTCACGGGGTCAAGCTGCCCCAGGAGACAAGTTTTCAGCGAATTTGGTGATTATGGTATTTGGCGCGGGCGCCAGGCAGTTCGTGCCAAGCGACAGTGGTATTCGTTTCAGGGAGACATGCTACCCTAGGGATACATTTCCAACAAACTTGGATGTTCCTACATCTTTATTATTAGAACAATATAGTGGCAGACAACATTGTCTGCCATCGTTCCACGAGACAGACTGGCTGTCAGCCACCACTGCCATCGTCGTCAACGTGTTGAAGACACGCTGTACCCTCACCTCCGTAGATCCTGGTCCCTGCCGTGTGTGGAGAGCTGCAGTAACGTGTCATTATCTGTGTTCAAAAGTGCACGGGAGCGAGCTGCCGAGTAATGATGTCTGGGTGCCGTTCCGGACTCTACTCCCGCTACCCTCAAGGTGCAACATCCGAGTGTGTGTTCCGCGTCGGATCCATCGGGTCCCGCAGCGAAACACCCACTTCGATGTTGACAATTAGAAGTGAGAGCACGCAGACATGTGGCGCGTACGGTTTCAGGTCAGGCGTGTGGCTGGCCAAGGGATTTCCCGAACGGCTTCCGGGTATCACGCCCTCCAGCCCTCGTTCCAGTGCGCTCTTGAGCGGGAAAGTGTGAGGCTACTGCTTCCGCGAACCCATTCACCTCACCTGGGAAGTATCAAGATTCACGGAGTTGATGTACAGCTTGTCTACAAAGCGTGAAACACGGTTTTGAGCACCCGTCGGAGCGAAAACGTGTGGGCCAATCTCGCCATTCCTGTGACAAAGGCCCAGCGTCTTCTCATAGTAGTACTCTAGTAGATAACCGGATTTATAACTATGGAGACAAAAACGATTTATTTCATACCATCCTGTTTTCACTTGGGCAAACGGCATCGCCAAGTAACCAAGTGCACTTGGAAGCAGAACTGGCTGATGCGATGAAAGAAGATATCGACGTTCCCACAGATACGACGACACTGGACAATACAAAGTCAGAGGACGAAGACGTGAAAGAGGATCTTGATGCGGCGCAACGTCGACGAATTGCCGAAACTCGAACGGGGTATGTCGTTGGGTTCCTATGCACTGAATCTCTTAGTTTCTCTTGATTATGCGCTAAACGATAGTATGAGTAACAATTGGCAGTAACAAGCTTCATCGTGTGTTCTCGCCTAATTTGATTGCAACTGCTGCCTCATTATCAATCATAGCAATGGGGAAGGCGCGTTATGCTCTTGTCGAACGTGACCTTTGTCGACCCACTGGGTCGCTTTCTCCAGCAGGACTGCTCACTTGATACATGAGGCAGATTCTTCATAGAAATGTATGTCATTTCAGAATGGCTGAAAACGAATGGCGCATCAATTTCGAACAAGTGCTCGCCACAGTTCTTAGCGAGGCCTTACTGGCGAATTATTTTGAGACCAAGTACTCGTTACAAGGACTTGTCAAGAGGTGTGTACTTCATTCAGCGAACTAAAAAATGAAGGCGCCATGCGGCGTAAGCACTGCAGATCTAGAGGCGCAGAGCACTGTTATCTGGTAGTTGCCCAGAAACAGTAGCAGGGGTGCAGTGTAGTGGGAAACCGAAAACGGTCAGAAAACATGA